CCTCACATCTAAGTTTCATTCCATGAAAACTTTTTTCCCCCCCTGGTTTTGGGTCACACCTCATGATCCTCAGAGGTGATTCCTGACTCTGTGCTTAGAGATCACTTTTATTTTATTTTAGTTTAGTTTAGTTTTCCCCTGGCCCACACCTGGCAGTGCTCAAGGGTTACTCCCAGCACTCTGCATTCAGGAATTACTTCTGGTGGAGCTTGGGGGACCATATGGGATGTCAGGGATCCAACCACGAGCTGGCTGCATGCAAGGCAAGCACCTTCCCCAATGTATTCTCTCTCCAGCCCTAATGAAAAACGATCTTGCTTCACTTAAAAAAAAAAAAAATGAATGACTGAAAGTTAACCTTTGAGAGAGAAGGAAAAAGATGGTCCTGGAGGGTGGGTGGAAAGGAGAGGTGATGGGAGGCAGTCCTGCAAGATTAGAGGGGTGAGACATGTGTGTGTGTGTGTGTGTGTGTGTGTGTGTGTGTGTGTGTGTGTATTTGAAAAGCCAAGAAGAAACAGTTCTGAGAAAAGTGAGAGGGAGAATAGAGAGGGGCGCAGGTGTGGCGCTCGGCAAAGAAAGCAGAGGCTGCCTGTGTCTTGAGTGTGATGCATCAACTTCTCGTGTGAAGAGGTTTGGGAAATCACTTCTCAGCACACTCGGGAAACGTGGTATGCTGGGGCCTCCAGGGGCTGTCAGATCCACGGGCTTCCTGGGGGAGCTGTAGGAATAAGGCTGGTTCCACGGAGCTCAATACTCCCTCAGGTGCCTGAGCACCAGTGTCTGTGCCGAGTTGGTGCCACAGGACCACGTGGCCCACTGGTGGGTAGAGCTGTCCCCTCCCCCAGCTCCAGCTGGTCAGGACCCTTGGAAATTTGTGTTTGAAACCTGGACATTACCTATATTGATAATCTCACAGAAAGATAAGGGGGTATTGCAAACCATAATTCCCAAAAGTAGAGAGAGAGCAAAAAGGAAATTGCCATAGAGGCAGGGGGTGGGGTGGGGTGGAGGTGGCAGAAGGGATACTGGGGATACTGGTGGTGAATATGAACACTGGTGGAGGAATGGGTGTTCTATTACTGTATGACTGAATCTCAATCACAAAGGCTTTGTAACTGTATTTCACAGTAGCACTGTAGCACTGTCCTCCACTGCTGTTCATCGATTTGTTTGAGTGGGCACCAGTAACATCTCACAACAAATTGTGAGAGTTGCTGTTACTGTTTTTAGCATATCAAATACGTCACAGGGAGCTTGCCAGGCTTTGTTGTGCGGGCCAGATACTCTCAGTAGCTTGCCAGGCTCTCCAAGAAGGGCGGAGGAATCGAACCCGGGTCACCTGCATGCAAGGCAAATGCCCTACCTGCTGTGCTACTGCTCCAGCCCATATTTCACAGTAATAAAAAAAGAAAGAAATAAAGAAAGAAAAAAAGGTAAGGGGGTGGTTAAATTTTGTCAGGCTACTATTTATTTCAAATGTTAATGAAAACTTCTATCACTGAACAAGTTTATCATTAAACAGGAAGGTCTGACATTCACCTAAAACATAACCTATCCCTACATTAGCATTTTCCTCTCAGTCTTCCTTGAAGAGAGTCACCTATCATTTTTTTAAAGCTCAGGGCCACAGCAGGTAGGGTGCTTGCCTTACACATACAGACCCCGGTTTACTCCTGGCATCCCAGATGGTCTGCCAACCATGATTTCCTGAGTTCACAGTCAGGCATAACCCTTGAGTACCTGTGGGTATAACCCAAAAGTCAAAAACACCCAAACAGAATTTTGAAACTCTAAGCTAGAAAGATAGTACAGGAGGTAAAACATTTGCCTGGCACACAGTCAACCCTGGTTCAAATTCCCGACACTCCATCTGGTCTCCCAAGCACAACTAGGGGGTCACACTTGGGCACAGAGCCAGGAACAGTCCCTGAGTACCATGGGGTGTGACCCAACATCCCTCTTAGCCTTGCAAAAAAAAAAAAAAGCCACTATCAGCAACTGTCCTTTCTCTTCCTTATCCAAATATGTCTTCTCATTTAATTTATGCCACCCAGACCACAGTTGTCTATTTTCTGCTCATGCACACTTGTGGGAGGACATCGGATCCTTTGGGAGTAAGAGCTGACAACACAGTGTCTACAGCAGCTCGCTCGTCTGCTGGTCTAAAACTGTCAGGTGGAGAAAGGAGATACGGCTGGCAAGCCCCCTCAGCCACCCTTGCTGGCTTCTCGTGATGGGTGTCCACTTGCAGGAGCTCCCATTCATTTCTTTCTTTGAAAATGGACCCCGGAACCTTTCTGTGGTCAACGTATGTTCACTGGCCCATGATCACAGGATGAAAAACTTGTTGGATTAAAGTGGTCTGGGTTGTGAGGGGTAGGGGAGGATGGGGGGGGGGAAGAGAGAGAGAGAGAGAGAGAGAGAGAGAGAGAGAGAGAGAGAGAAGAGGGAAGGAGGGAAAGAGGGAGGGAGGGTGGAGAGGGGGAGAAAGAGAGAGAGAGAGACAGAGAGAGAGAGAAAGTACCTGCCATAAAGGTAGGCTGGGTGGGGGGGGGGGTGATGGGAAGGAAACTGGGGACACTGGTGCTGGCAAATGTACACAAGTGGAGGGATGGGTGTTGGAACACTGTATAACTGTAACCAAATCATGATCAGTTTTGTAAGGGTCAATCTCACAGTGATTCAATTAAAAACAAATCTTAAAAAAAAAATTAAATACCCTAGGTTTTACCAGACACTTACCAGCTCTCGCTTATATTCTCCAATATTTTTTCACAGATGACCCTTAAGTGTGTGTCATGTTTGCAAATGTTCTTTGTGTGTGTGTGTGTTTGGCAAGGGCACTGCAGTGCTTAGAGGGACAGCTCCAAGGATAGAACCTGGGCCTTCCGCATGCAAAGTAGCCTTTGCACACGTACGCAGCCCACTGAGCTCTCTCACGTGTGCGCCTTAGCTTGCAGAGGTTTCTCAGGGCCCCAAGTCCAGGCCTCATTTGGCCAAGGGACTCCGATAGCCTTGAGTTGATGCGCCCCCCCCCCCCCCCCCCCCACCATCCTACCTTGAGTTTCAACTTCCTTGTTACATAGCTGTCCTGCTCTTTCCAGCCTGGTAAGACTCGGCTCCCCAGCCTGGTCCTGCAGTCTCTGCTGCTTTCCTACCCCCATGGCTGTCCTGACCGGGGATTAAAATCTGTTCACTGGCTCTCGTTGTTTCCTTCCTGCCTTTGCTTTTTAGGTCACACCCGGCGGTGCACAGCGGTTGCTCCTGGCTTTGCACTCAGGAGTTACTGCTGGTTGTGCTTGGGGGGCCATATGGGATTCTGGGAATCAAACCCGGTGGGCCCTATGCAAGGCAAACACCCTACTCGCTGTGTTATCACTTCAGCATCCTCCTTCCCGCCTTTGGAGCAAGAGCAGATCTGGACTCGTGCCTGTGGGCTATTCCTCTCTTCTTCCTCTGAGAAGGCTTTAGCTACCTCCATCCAATCATTGTTTTTCTGGGGCTGGTTACCTTTTCCTCTGAAGGTTCTTCCTTGCTCTGAGTGTGGATGGATACACTGTTCCCACTGTTCCCTGTTGGCCAAAGGAAAGACTTGCCAAGCCCCTCAACTGAGCTGGAAACAGTCAGTCATAACCAAGTCACTAGAGTTTGTCTTGAAGTGAAAAAGGCACTGGGCTTTTCAAAAACGAGTACACTTGTCTCTCTATAATAAATTTCAGTGACATGTATATTATTCCTCCTCCTCCTCCTCCTCCTCCTCCTCCTCCTCCTCCTCCAGTGACATGTATATTATTCCTCCTCCTCCTCCTCCTCCTCCTCCTCCTTCTTTTTGGTTTTTGTTTTAGGACCACACCTGACAGTGCTCAGGGGTTATTCCTGGATTCCTGGCTCTGCACTCAGGATTCACTCCTGGAGGTGCTCAGGGGACCACATGGGCTGCTGGGGGTCGATCACTCGAACCTGGGTTGGCTGAGAGCAAGACAAATGCCCTACCCACTATACTGGCTTTTCAGTCCCAAAGTGTGGTACACTTCTAACTGGGTATATTACTGCTCCAAGAAAGTTTTAGTCTAAAGATGTGAATTTAAGTGTTTAGAATCAGCTTGAAATGTCAATGTTAATAGTGCTCTTCAAACAGACTAGCAATTATGTAGTTATTTCAGAAAGAAAAAAATTGCCTTCGACCCAGCCAGAGGGTGATGATAAAGGTGCACATGTCTATACATGTGCACATCTATGAAAAATACATGTGCACAGGCAGACAGACATTTATACCCATACACATACACTGGTGTGCGTGCACGCACGCGCGCGCGCGCGCACACACACACACACACACACACCAGATACTACCATTCTGGCCAGAACCCAGATCTGCCCCTGCAGGTGCCCCGGAGATATACAGTTTGACTGGACAACTTCAGTGCTGCCTAAAAACCCTGATCTCTAACTGGGTATTTAGCTGGTTTTTTGCTTGTTTCTTTGTTTTGTTTTGTTGCTTTTTGGTTCACACTTGGCAATGCACAGGTGTTACTCCTGGCTCTGCACTCAGGAATTACTCCTGGTGGTGCTCGAGGGACCATATGAGATGCTGGGAATCGAACCCAAGATGGCCACATGCACGGCAAACACCCTACCTGCTGTTCTATCACTCCAGTCCACTTTTTAACGGGAAAAATAAAGAAGGGACAGAAATAAACTGGAGTTTATTCTGGGGAGAAGGTGGGTTGTGATTTAAGCCCTCAGTTTTGATGGACAGCAGTTCACCACACAAAGCAGAGACCGGTCACTCTACAGCAACTTTCCTTGCCCGAAGGGGACCGGACACTAAGCAGCAACTGCTCTGAGCATGCAGACAGGTGGGCGGCACTGCCAGAGTCCATCCATAAGAGAAAAGGCTTCCTCTACCTATTCCTCATGTATGTGCATGCTCATAGCAATGCCCCAACCCAACACACACACACACACACACACACACACACACACACACACACACACACCTGGTTGATGACGTAGATGCCATAGTCCAGCTGCTGGCGCTGCAGGATGGGGTGCAGGTAATAGAGCCAGTATTTGAGGTGCTCGTAGCGGTTGCGGAACGGGATGATGATGGCCACCTTGTGAGGCGAGATGCAGTTGCTGGGCCGGTAGCGGCCGCCTACCTGCACGTTGGGGTTCTGCTTCGCCACCAGCTTCAGGTCCACTTTGATGTTAAAATCGATGGGCATGGGGCCAACTAGAATGGGGGAGGAAAGGGAGGTGTCAGCGGCTACTGAGAGTCCAGGGGGACAAAGGGTTCTCGAGAAAGACTCGCACTAGGTACATGTATGAGCCAATGTCCCCAGTAACCCCCCCACAGCCCCCCCCGCCCCCAGCCAGGGATCACCCCCTTCAACATTCCGTTTCTCAATTCCTGGTGCTGCTTGGGGACTCTCTGTGATATCAGGGATGGAACAGGGGTCGGTGAGTGCAAGGCAAGAGGCTTCCCCTGAGATTATCTCTCGGGGTGGGGGGAGCCCAGAACTCCTGAGGTTGAGACCTAGCTCTGCCACCTCCAGACTGTGTCTCCTGGGATGGGCTGCAGACTCCTTTGATCAGAGGACGCCCTGATAAGACGGTCTCCTCTGTATCAGGGGATTCCTCTCATCAGGGACCCTTACATGTCACCAGCTTCCCCAGTGACACGGAAGTCGCCACAAGAGCAAAGGAAGGAAGCAGGGCCGGGAGGGAGAGCTCATCGTAGGGGTGTAGGAAACGTGCTTGTAGAAAATGAGCCATGCGCTGGAAGCCCGTGGAGCAACCCAGGCCCAGGGGTGAGTCTTGGCTGTGCTGCGGGTCTGCCCTTCCTTGATGCTACCAGCACTCCTGTCCTCAGAGGCCCCTCCTGAAACGAGAGCCCAAGGCCTCTTCTCAGGTTGGCCGCACCCTCCCACTCCACTCCCTTCCAGGCTTGTTCTTGACAACCCACCCCACTCCTAGCCACCAGCCCCACTTCCCCGCAGGGACCCTCCTGAAGACTGTCCAGCCTCAGGGGCTATATGGCTGAGAGAAAAAAGGCCACCTCTCTCTCTCTCTCTCTCTCTCTCTCTCTCTCTCTCTCTCTCTCTCTCCCTCCCCTCCCTCTTTCTCTCTCACCCTCTCTCTCTCTTTCTCCCTCCATCCCTCCCCCCTCTCTCCCTCTCTCTGCTTGGTACCCACCATCCTGCAGACTGGCATTTCTCCACTTTTTCCCAGTCTTATTTCCTCCCCGTGGGACCCCACCCTATGGGTTTTGGATGCCTCATCTTGTGCCATGTCCTCCTCCCCCACCCCTGCCCCTGGCCTTTGAGGAAATTTTCACTCATGGCCCCTTAGACATGTGCAAGGGATTACAGGAATCGGAGGGTGACAGCGACCTGACCCCCAGTTGAGAAATGAACCCCGCTCTAACCCATATGGGAAGCCGGAGTTCTCTCTGCCAGGAAAGCCCCTCCCCTACTCTAGCTGCCTGGGTCTGACCCAGAGGCCCATCAGAAACTGCGGAGCCCACCCCGAGCTGGCTTCCTCCTCCTGTTTTCCCCACCATCACCACCGAGCTTAGAGTGCAGACGTCCGGGGAGAAAAGGGGTTGCTCAGGCTCTCTGGGGCCTCCCCTCTCCCCTGTGCCTGCATTTCCTGGGTGCCCCAGGGAGTGGTCTGATGCTCTGAGACAAAATAAGGGGTCCCCTGGGACCAGTTTGCTCCAAACCTATTACTAGAATCTCGAGGTGACGGGTAAAAATACAGGCAGGTGCTCCGGCCCGTCTGCAGGACCCCTGGGAAGCAGTGGGGTCGCACACTCCATCCTCACATCCTGGCAGGGCTTTCCTGAGGAGGCCCTCCCTTCCCACCAGGCCCCGGGGCGCAGGCACCAGACGCCCCAACCCTACACCAATCCCCCTGGGAGGCCCTCTGACGCTCGCTTCTTGTGAAAAACACGCAGAGATCTGGGGCTGCTCTCCCTTCTCAGGGCCCCTCAGCACCTGCCAAGCTCCCAGTCGCACCCCACCTCGGGCTCCGGAGATGCCGCTCACCATAACCCCATTTCCTGGAACCATAAGGGTATCTGCACAGCAACCCAGTAGCCCGTGCACACGTGAAACCACCCCAAAAGACAGGAATTCACACGGGGTGTGCCTGGCCCCCGACTCAGACACTCGCTGGCTAGAAAGCAGCTCTCCTCCGCACTTCCGCTCCAAAGAGTCAGGGGTGTATGTGTGTGTGGGAGGGGGGGGTATATATGTCTCTGTGTATGTACATTTGTGTATATGTGTCTGTGGTGTATGTGTGTATATGTGTTCCTGTGTATGGTGTCTTATGCCTGTACTTATGTGTGGTGTGCTTGCATGTGTGTATGTATATGTGCATATTTGTGTATGTATTTATTACATGTGTGTGGCCGAGCCGGATTCGATTCTTCCACCCCTCTCGGAGAGCCCGGCAAGCTACCGAGAGTATCTCGCCCGCACGGCAAAGCCTGGCAAGCTACCCGTGACGTATTCGATACGACAAATACAGTAACAAGTCTCTGATAGCACAGCGGGTAGGGTATTTGCCTTGCACGCAGCTGACCCAGGTTCGATTCCCAGCATCCTATATGGTCCCCTGAGCACCGCCAGGGGTAATTCCTGAGCACAGAGCCAGGAGTAACCCCTGTGCGTCGCTGGGTGTGACCCAAAAAGCCAAAAAAAAAACCCAAAAAACGAAAATGGAAACGTTATTGGGCCCGCTCGAGCAAATCAATGAACAATGGGAGGACAGTTGTGTGTGTGTGTGTGTGTGTGTGTGTGTGTGTGTGTGTGTGCACGCCTGTGTTTGGTGTATGTATATGTGGATGATGAGTTGGTATGTGTTTGCATGTGTGTACTTGTGCATATAAACTTATGCAAGTATGTGTGGTGTATGTGTGTGTGTGTGTATGTGTAGTGTGTTTGTAAGTGTGGGTGTATGTGTGTGTATCTCAGGGGAGTTTCTTAGGTTGGGGCTCAGCTCTGCCACACAGACCCAGGGCAAATGAGTTTCCCCCAGTACTGACCTCCCCCATGGAAACTCAGGAAGTTAATGCCCCTAAGATATCCTTACTTAGCCCCCTCATAGAATCTCCCCCACCCTCCGATGTCGGCCCCTCAGTCCTGAACAGGCAACCTTCCCTCATGTCCCCCAGACACAGACACGGTCCCTGTTTACAACCAGGAGGTGACCCAGAGTCTCTCCTACTTCTCACACTCTCCGAGTGCGGAATGTGGCCCCAAGCTCTGGCCAACCTTCCCGGAACCTGCTGTGTGCCCACACACGTGCCAGGATGGGGGCCCAGGCTAGAGAGGAGATGGTGGGATGGAGAAGACTGGACAAGACAGGTATTGCCTTCTCAGCGCTCTCTGCTGAGCTGACATCTCTGTCAGGTGACAGAGTGATACCCTAGTGACACCCCAGCCCTCACCCCAGCCCATGTCACGGCTGCCCCTCCAAAAGCTCCATGAGAAGCTTTTTTGCTTTTTCCATTTTCAGGCCACCCCCGGCGGTGCTCAGGTGCTCTTCCTGGCACTGAACTCAGGGGACCACGTATGGTGCCAGGGAAGAAGGCGGGACTGACCACATGCCTTACCCCTGGACGGAGTCTTTCGCCCTCTGTGCTGAATCCACTCCCCATGCTCTAAGGCGCCTTTCTGTGGCCCTCCTCTGTGCAGAGAGGGCCCTGAACCCCACCCCCTCCAATCCGGGGCTCTGATTCCATAATCTTCCAAATCCCTTTTTATCTTTGAATTTTATCTGGAGCAGCCTGATAAGGGGGTTGAAGGTCTATAATTACAATATTCCAAAACCACACCCTCCCAGAAAGCGCAGTTCTAGCCACCAGTTCTTGGGTTCTTGGTTCCGTTGCCTTTGGCTGCATCCTCGCAGTTTCTTTAATTCCAGAGAGAGAGAGAGAGAGAGAGAGAGAGAGAGAGATCATTCTCTCCCTCCCTCCCTCTTCCCTCCCTCCCTCCCTCCCTCCCTCTCCTTTATGACTTTATTCAGCATTACCTCCAATACCATCCATGGAGTGGCAAAACTGCATCATTTCGTCTTAGCCTCCAGCTGTGTACATATATTTGGGGGCACCTGAGTTATTCTCAGACCTTGGCTATTTTGAATAGTGCTGCAATGAACATAGGAGTACAAATGTCTTCTCTGAAGAAGAGTTTCTGGGCTCCTGGGGTAGATGCCATGAAGTGGAATGGCTGGGTCAACAGGGAATTCACGTTTAGGCTTTTGTGGTATGTCCAGATTGTTTTCCACTGAGGATGAACAAACTGACATTCCTACTAGCAGTGGAGGAGGGTTCCTTTTTCCTATACCCACAAGTTTGGCGATTCTCTTTCTTTTCTTTTTCTCTTTCTCTCTCTCTCTCTCTCTCTCTCTCTCTCTCTCTCTCTCCTCTCACGCACACACACACACACACACACACACACACACACACACACACAGAGCCAATCCCAACCTTCATTGCACAGTGCTGGGCAGATACCTGCAGCTCCTGCCAAATTGTCCTCTTGGGTCAGGCGCCAGGCAGTAGGCCTGAGTGCTCCGCCTCTCTGGCCGGGCTTGGGGGAATGTCTGCCTGGTGCTGTTCCCTGAGAAACCTGAGCTCTGATTCCAGGGGGGCACTGAAGGGCTCTGCCTGGAACCACCCTGGCCTGGGGACGGCAGCCCGGTGGTTGGTCCTCAGGCCCAGCCAAGACTCCCCAGCAGGGTGGCGCATGGCGTGTGCTACCACTGGCCTGGGGCCCCGCTGCGCTGGCTTGTGTGTTTTCTTGGCTCCGGGTTACGTAAGCAGATGAGCAGATGTGTGCCTCTCCTTGGCTGCCCCAGCTCAAGCCCCGCCACGTGGGCCTCTCGGCTGGGAGTCAGGGTCACGGCCTTGCGTGTAAGTCGCTCAATAACTTCAATGTGTGAGCGCCACAAGACAAATTCCACTGCTACCCTCACACGCCTGGCAAACCCAAACACACACACACACACACACACACACACACACACACACACACACTCGCTCCTCTCTCCAAAGTCCTGGAACCCTCAGCCTGTCCAGCCCAAAACCCTCGCCTGCAAGCCAGCGACAGCCCAGCTCAGCCCCCCTGCCTCAGCAGAACAGGCTAGGCCATCTGGGCCATCTAGTCACTGTATTCCCCCGACTGGCCAGGGGTTTCAAGACCCCCAGCCGGCCTTAGAGCTGGG